CATATTTTCATATTTTTTTTCTAGGGACCATCACATATTTAGGAGCAAAGTGTGCGATTTTGACTGGCCAAAGCGAGATGAATGGAATTTTTACTTCTAAATAATGGAGAGCAGCCTAAAACGTTAGTCTTCGGTGTGTCGTGGAATAACTGTCGTGGGCTTAAAGTACTTTTTCATCCTTGATGGAAGAAACTATCAAACTAATTTTGGTTTTCTGTTCGAAAATCTACCCTTCGAAAAAAAAATGAACCCTGCCACTATCACAGTAGGTTTGGCTTTTTACGTTCTAGTCAATTTGTTTCTTACTTTCTTTTTGAAAAATGCTGTTAGATGGGATTTTTTTACGTTTTGTTGATTGTTGCCCAATTTTTGAAGTTTATAGTTCAACGAAACACCATCTGTGGTACTAGTACACAGTAAATGTTCTACAATAATTTTAAAGGAAGTTTTATGACACGAACTTTCAAGCCAGAGGCTAGCGAAATTCGAGTTTAACTACATAAATTAATTTTACTACATTTTTCAGTCAAAAAGTGAAGTGAGTGTACAGCCCCCCTAAACTCCAGTTTTTTATTGAAAAGTCGCAGTAAACTTGATCCTTGCCTTTTTAGTAACATTCAATGGCGCCACTGAAAGCTGAATTAATTGCTTGCATTTGATTAATTTCAAATTTGTCTATTGTGCAATCTGCTCTTCTCGAAAAGAATTTAAAAAATATAACTCGCAACTTTAATCACTTGTACAATTTGTCAGTGAGATGGTTTTTTTTTCCAACTAAGCATACCTCTTCAACTGTTTGATATGATATCCCGAATGCCTAATATTTGCGGTTTTTCATGCTCTTTGTAAGATTCTTTGCGGATATATATGTATATTTCAAAGTTGAATGCCCTATTGTGTTTAAACACTGAATTCAATAAGAAATATCACATATTTCTTGTGTTCAGTACCTAGTGAGAGATAGCTAATATTCACCGCAATTACGTCATGCGGTGTTCTCAGCATGCGCCAGTGCCCATCACCATGGGCCAAGTTGTAAGGAGGTAAGGTATCTGCGAAACCCTA